CTGAGGTATATTTTCTATACTTCTAGTGATAAAAACATTATTTTTATAATTATATTTTAACTTTATCTGAAAGCAATAAGCAAGAAAGAAAAGAAATTCAAGGAATTTTAAGATCAAATATAAAACCAAAAATATTTTAATGGCCAACACCAATTTTTCTGTACATAACATAACTATGAGCACAGCAGAAAGAGAAGAGATAGAAACTTACAACACCAAATGAAATCTTTCAAAATTTGACATAAATAAGTGAGATATTTCACAGAACTACCATCTAATATCACAATCCCCAAATTCATATTTTCTGACTGTCCTTGGGGGTAAAAGTAACATTTTTGTATGTTTGTTTTTACAATCTTCTGCACAGCCTGAGTCCATTTGGGACTAGATATAGGTTTAATTTTATATCCACCTTCTTACCCCTGTACCAACACATCCAAAATAATGCAGCAAGCTTTTCATGTTTTTGAGATGACAGAGATATATCTGACTAAGAATACATTCTTATCTGGCTGCTTATTCAACAGACAACCCATATCTGTGGCTACATCCTCATACCTGCTTTCTCCGGGGGGGACACCTGATTCTCCAGCTATCCACTTTTCCTGTGTATGCTGACTTTTTCAGATCTGTGCTTACAATCAGAACCAGGGAGATCTGATGCATTTCCTTGAACCTAAAAGCTCAACATTCCAGTGTTCCAGCATGGAGTGTCTCAGTGAATTGTGCCTACTTATATATCAAAGATATAGCTGTGTTAAATTAATGCGCTACCATGATTTCCATCATTAGCTTTGTCCATTAATTTGGTTTATTGACAAATTAAATACTCTGGCTAAGAAACATAATACAAAGTCCTTTTTAAAAGAAATCTTGTTCTGAACTCAGTGGCACATTGCTTTATTGACTAATATGTGTTACATTCCAAAGCCTTAATGTTTTCAGCAGGACACAAAGTTCTGGCAAAGAGAAAAAGCAAATTACTTTCATGTACTGAAATTTTGTCACACACAATGACTTGTTTGCTCTTCAGAATGTCCTTCTTTGTAAATATTTTGTTTTTCCTTTCACCCCAAATAACGCCAGAGATGTTAGATTAAGTTCAATGAACTGATGAATTGAACCTCACACAATACTATGGTTTTTAAGGTTTCCTTTTTGAGTATCCAGTTTTGTTCTATCTATAAATGGATATTACTATCTTCAGTGGTGTAATAACTTCATGTTTTTATTTTCTGATGGCAATAAGAAATTTAAAGACACAGGAAAGACTTTAGTTGCTTTGAGTAGAACATAACATTGTGTTTCAAAGACAAGAAACTGAAAATCAGAATATTATAATACAAATGTTCTGAGAAGTGAGATGTTTAAATATCTTTTAATAAAGATAGGACTGAATCTGAGTTTTTGAAACCTGTGTAAGGATCCAAATCTGTTCTTATTATTCAAAATTCTTCATAACTAGTTTTTTGAGTTGTAGCCCTAGATAAATATATTCAGTGACCTCTTTACTCTAGTTTTAAACTATCTGAAATGTTAGTTTGACAAATGCACTACCCAGTTATTTAAAAATCCGTCACTTCATTTATTGTGCTCACCATAAGAGTATCTAAGCAATTAATTCTAAAATAGAGTATCATTGGGATGTATAATACATCGCTATATTAAAATATGAAAGTAGCAAGTAATAAATGAAATACTTAAACTGATAAATTAACTTTTAGAATCAAAAGAGTAACTGTCTTTGAAATTTTATTTGTGTTATAAACTCAAACTACATTTTATTACTAATAAATTTTCATAGTCTATGGCTTATCTATGGAACAATAAAATTGTGCAGGGAAACTTTCTGAAAGTTACTGTGGGCAATAAATATCACTTGTCTAAGAACAATTGACTACAGCTAGCTGAAAGACAAGTCCACTGAAGGAGAGTGGAGACAGAGAAAAGCAAGTCTGAAAGAACAGCTGAGTTTTCAATTACACCAGAGGATCAGAATCCCAAGTGGACTGAGTATTGCTAATTGGAAAGTCTCTGGAAAAGAGAGGATGAAAAGTTTTGTGGCCTAGAAGTCATGATCTGTAGTGAAAGATAAAAGAAGCTCTTTAGACAAAAAATGTGTAAGAGATGGTCTTTTTAAGGCCTGTATTTGTCATACAGGAGAGCTCTCTTTGATTGCAAATACCTCTTTAATCTAGAAGATAAAAAGTCCAAATGAACCCAGAGGCTGAAAGGGAGAAGACCTCAGACTACAAAGAAGATGAATTTTTTAAGCATCAGCCAAATAAACTAAAAAAATATTAAAAAAATAAAAAAAATTAAAAAACTACAAAGAAAAGCCTTATCATGAGCCATAAAGGATTCTATATAGTTTGAAAACTTTCAAAAAACAGGTTATGCCTCAGAAGCTTCATGTAAGAATTGTGTGACATTCTTCTTTATTCTTCTAAATGTTACAGACATGAATCCATCTTAGAGGTTCATTGGATTTAATTTTTCAGTAATACAAAATTCCCCCATAATATCCTCTTGTAAAAAGATGTACCTGACTGGTTTAATTTTTTAGGAATGCCCTTTAAATCTTCATTATTCTATCTACTTGCAAATGTAAAATGAAAATATTTTTAAGATAATTCACAAAGAGAGATTTAAGATCCCATAAACAAGAAGGCTCTGTATTAATACAAATTTAAAAAGTTGACCATGATGGAAATGGAAGTGGAAACAGAAACACTCTTACATATATCAGCCAAAATAACCCAATAATAATTCAAAGCTATATTTAAATGCTAAAATAGGTGTTAAGGTCTCATTTGTTTTTTACAGATATCCAGACTTTTGTGGCAGAACTGCAAAACAAAAGATCTTGCTTGTAATGGCTTCATAAAGTCATCAAATGCAAAACAGAATGTATGGACATGGGTGTTTGGAAAAATGACCCAAAGGATCAGCAGTGGAGAACTGAGAAATCCAGTTTCAGTGGTTTTTTTCTGCTTCAGTCCTTGAGAAGTTGGAGTACTTGGTGAACACTACAAGTAAAAAGAACCAAGACTCTGAAAGCAAAGTTTCATTCATTTGTACACATAAATATGGACTGAAGACCCTCCCTCTCTCTCTCTCCCCTCTCTCTCTCTCTCTCTCTCTCTCTCTCTCTCTCTCTCTCTCTATATATATATATATATATATATATATATATATATATGTGCCTTAAAAAGGAATAAATTAACTTTCTTCTTTGTATCATGCTTATGAAATATATGTGCTTATACTTACCTACAGAAAGGCATGCACTTGTGGCTTGGAAATATAGAGGACTCCTCAGAATATTCTACATGTGTATGAGAGTAAATTCCCTTTTTAAAATTACCACTTCAGAGACAAGATATCATTACTAAAAAAAAAAAAAAAAAAAAAAAAAAAAAAAAAAAAAAAAAAAGTAAAATAAATAAAGTCACTTTAATACCACCATAATGTCTTTACAGGATATTTCATGATCTTGCTCTGATCTTCTAAAATCAATCATACATGAAAATGAACAGGTACATATATAATACCACCTATCAACATCTTTTTTCCTCCACAAGCTGAATATTGCTACCTTATAATTCTTATGCTAATAGAGACTTTATTTGAATTGTTCTAAACATATATTGCAATGTCTAAATCACAGTCCAGAATGTACTTTGATCTGGTATTTTTCTGAATGGTGCTGCAGGTAATAAGCAATGATGTCTAATATGTTACTCATGCTGAGTAAAATTTGACTGCATCCTTAAAGCCTGTGTGAAGCTATACATTACCCAACTCCATTTTAAATAGCATAGAATAGAGAATTTGTCACAATGGAAAACCAGAGGCACTGACAGTTGTTTGGGTTTTTTTAAAGGACTGCATTTGGTAGGGAAATTGCCTTGAAGGCAACAATAGAGAAACAGAACTCAGATTCAATAACTTAAACAAAAGAAGCATTTACATTCATGTCCTAGGGTGACTTTATGATGCTTGTATCCCAAATCATCTGTATTGTTTATGCTGAACCTTTAAAACTAGATCTGAGAGCAAAGAGGGGGAGAAGGAAAAGCAGTGGAATTCTTTTGTGGAAGTGGCTGTATTCAGTAACAGAGATAAGCAGTGCTCTCAGAGTTCTCCTCTCTGCAGACAGATGGGGAGTCTTCCCTTATTGTTTTTGCTGGTTTTTCTCTCATTAGCTGAGGCCAGAAGGTTTTTTTTGGAATGGTTCAGCCATTGTTCAGTCTGGGAACACCAGGACTATTGCCCTGGGGCTCCCCAAGCTGTGCTGCAGCCAGGACACCAGACCCAAGCCCCTGACAGACTGAGAGAGCCAAGGACACACTCATGAAAAGGACTCTCTCCAATCCACAGAAGGACGTTCTGAATCTGCCATGTCTTCAGAACAACAAGAGGTTTCATTGTTCAATATTATTCCTTTTTTGATGTTTGGGAGTACTTTGCTTCTTAAATAAACAACTTTTTCCACTTCTCTCAAAGGAGATTCTCCTTCTGAACTGGTGTGGGGAAGAGCTGCTTGAATTTACTTTCTAGAGGGACCCTTTGTAGATTTTCCTCCCTAAATTTGCCCTAAACCATGACAGCTAAACTTGTATGAAACTTGTTCACTGAAATAAATTCTCCTCTGTGTGCTGAGGTGAACATAGGAAAGTGTGGAAGAAAAATTGAAAAGGTGTAGGTATCTATAAACATGTATGGTTTACTGGAGCTGATTATATCTTATAATGTCTTCAGTGTGGTTTAGGTGAGAATAGTTCTCACAGACATCAGGGATCATCTTTACCTTGACTTCATTAAGATCTAGACAAGGTTCACAGGTCAATATCCATCAAAGAGCTACAGGCCTCAAGGTGCTCAGTAGTGCTGTGCTTGAGATGCTTGGAATTTGGATCTGTGAGGTCACAGTAAGGTCAAGGACAATGTTTCATGTACCTTGTTAAGCTTCCTGCTACATTTTGCTAGAACCAGCATTCAGATGGCTGGAAGGGAACCTCAGACTTACCAAAATGATAGCCAGCAGGAAGGACTTCGCTGTCAGAAACGTGGACTTAAGAATTTGAAAGGTGCTGTTAAACACACCTGTGAAAAATGGAACCTGGACCCTGCAACCACTTCCTTCCCTTCCCTTCCCTTCCCTTCCCTTCCCTTCCCTTCCCTTCCCTTCCTCATGAAGGATTGCCCAGTATAGGGAATACTGGTAAGGGGAAGTTCCTATTCAGAAATAGTAACCATTTAGAAAATTTTCTATTTGTTGTTACTGCATTTAATTTTTTCTACCAATAAACATGTCTCTATATCTTTCAGGCTTGACATCTTAGTAGCAGACAGTTCCAGACAGAACACCCTAATATACACAAAAATATGCAGCTTTGCACTGTCATGTCATGAGTCAGCAGCTAGTAGTATGCTAATATAATATTAGCATTGATTTTCTAAGCTATTCCAGTACAATACATTTATAATACACACAACTATTGTCAGCATATGCCAAATTGGCAACATTGCACCAATTTGATCAAGAAAAATGGACAAAATTATAAAATTAATTGAATATTCAACAGCAATGCACTTCAGCTTTTTAGAATTCAATTAAATGATCTTGCAGCATCTTTCTGTGGCCATACCACAGATCTTAGTCACCTACTTTTTAGTAGTTTTTCTATTCTTACAAGAATTGTTTACCATGTGCATGCATTCACATATCACTGCAAATATTAGACAAAAAATTTCCACATACTGGAATAAGTTTGTTCAACAAATTTGACTTGAACTTAAAATCATTGTTAGAGAGATTTTTCAATCTCACCTAGGATTTCCCTGAAATATTGTCCTTTACTACTGTGGTAGGTTGACCTGAATTGGCTGCCAGTTTCCTACCAAGCCACTCTACTGAACAGGACAGAGGGAAAAAACACAACAAAATGTTCCTGAGTTGAGGTAAGGACAGGATGATCATTCATCAGTTCCTGTCATGCGCAAAACAAGTTCAAGTTTGTGAATTAATTTAACATATTGGCAATTAATAAGTGAGAGAGAAATAAGAAATAAGGAAAAATCTAAGACCTTCACCATACTCCTTCTTTCTTCTCAGGCTCAACATCACTCCCAAAAATTCTCTACCTCCTCCCCCTGAGCAGTCCAAGGCAATGGGGAATGGGATTTGTAGCTTTTGTAATCCTTCAAGTCTGCTCCTCCTCCTTCAAGCTCTTCCTCTGCTCCAGAATATGGTCCTTCACAAAATTCTCCTACATGGATCCCTCCCGGAGGCTACAGTTCTTCACATAGTGCTCCAGTGAGGTTCCCTTCTTTGGAATGCATTTCTTCTGGAAAAGACTCCTTCCATGTGGATCCCTCATAGGACTGAACACCAGGGATGTCCACACAGTGTTGCTTCCTGCAGGGCACATCCACCTGCTCTGGCATGGGGTCATCTGCAGGCTGTAGCACGGATATCTGTTCCATGGCATGGTCTTCTCCACAAACTGTAGGGAAACCTTTGCCTGGAGCACCTCCTCTCCCTCCTTCTTCATTGACCTTGGTGTCTGCAGAGTTCCTTCTATGAAAATTTAGAAATCAATCACACACAAGGTGATTCTAGATGTTGTCCTCCTGCTTAGCACCACTAATATCTATTATTCCTCATCCAACAATTTCCCAGTTTTGGGGATGTTCAGAACTTCTTCAAATGATCACAGAGTTCAGTTATTTTTCACCTATGCAAAAAAGAAAAATAAAATAAATAAAAACTCAAAAAACAATCCCCATTTCCTGATATCTTAATCGTGTCTTCTAGTATAGTGTATGTTGAAATATACCATCTCTACATTATCCCTTAATTGAGAGATCTAAGAACTTTTCTTTCTTATCTCCAGAGTACTTTTCCAGCAGAAGATGGTTTTCACCTGTATTTTCTTGACTATGCTTTTATTTGGTCCATTTTGTCATTTTAGGTGGTGGGATTAAAAAAAAAAAAAGGTCCAGGATTGATGATATAGTCATTAATGACACAGTCTGAGTTGGTGCAGTTATTGAGCTCTTACTACGATAACACAACTCAAAATTTGTAAAAACAATACTAATTTTGACTCAGAGCTAATTGTTAGATAGGTAGACTTATTCTTAATTTTCCCATGTGCACTGAGATACTTCCTAGAGCAGTAGGAAGGAGCATAGGAAGGATCCTATGGTTTGATACCAGTTTCTGAAAGTATCTTTTTTGCCAAGTGACTCTTTTATGCAAAATACATTTAAATAAGGATGCAGAAAGCTACCTTGCATCTAAAGAAGGGAGGCTTCAGGATAAATATCCTTTTAAACGGCTAAGTTCAGGTGTCTGGACAATATACTAGATATTGTTAATAACTCCCTGATGTAATTAATCCTCTCCACACTCTGTGCATACAGGTCAAACAATCTAGGAGACAACTCAATTTTTTTCCAGGTAAAGATAATAGGAATTATAACACCTAGATCTAGCCATGTTGTCTTCCCCAAAGCCAGACAAGAACAACTCAGATGCAGAGAGTCTTGGAGAACTAAACATGAGGTTATATGGGAATAAGTGGAAAACGGTGCAAAATGCATCTCTGGTCAGGTAGCACAGAACCGTACTGCCTGGCACTTCTGAACATTTGCAGATTTAGCAATTTATGAAGTTAAACCCTACAGTGGAATTCATTAATTTCTATAATGTAAATTATTTCCTCAGAAGAGTATTTCCCATAAGTGAGATGGTTTATGCTGCGGCCATGAATAAATCAAAAATGAAGTAATCTTTATAGGCAGTGCTAAAAAAACCTGACTCGGGGGAAATCTGAACGTAAATAACACGGAAAAGTTTACAGAAAAAACACCACACAAACTCATTAAAAATGCATTTATATTAGGGGGAAAAAAAGGACTACGTGAAAAAAAAAATCTGCCTAAGCTTAGCATTGCAGATCTGACATTCATTGTATTGATCAAAACCCTGTTTTGTCAGGGAAATGTTTGATAATATAATTTTGACATAAATTCAGTAACCAAGAGGACAAAGAGAAATCTTTAAGGTCTAACATGCAGTTTTGAGGCTTTAATCAAGAAAAGAATGATGACCAACACCTTCTTGAGTGAGTAATGATTTAAAGTACATTTTTCCCTGTGGACCTTTCAAGAGGTGCCTTGAAGGGAACCACTAGAGGAAGAAAAATGGTCAGCATTTTCTGAAATCTCTCTTTTAAGGGTGCTACAAAATTGGCACTGCAAATTAAGACACCTCAGCTCACTTTTCAAAATCTATCTGCTCATTCTGTATCTATAGGTATCTTTATTTGTACATTTGTAAAGAAAGAGACAAATAGATTCAAAAAGAGACAAAAAGATTTGTTGCTCCTTTGCCTTAAATTAGCTTTCAATTAACAAGTTGCTTTAAAAAAAATAGTAGATACAAATATTTTATCTTACTTGGAGGCCATTCCTGTTATTACATGCCAAGAAGATCTCTATCTCTGATGGCTCTCAAAACCTGCTCAAAAGCTGCATCTTTGTGCTTCTGTGGTCACTCCACACATGCCACAGTTCAAAAACTTTAGGTATTGTGTTTGTGCTCAGGACACTTGATTGGACAAAGAGCAGCCTTACATAACACTTCATTTGTAGCTCTCACACAAACTGTGGTCTTACTTCTTTTAGTAAAAAAGGGCAATAACTATGGTTTAGTAGTTTGGAGCAGAGTTCATCAATACCTCCCTTCATCAGCCAAAGTCATACTATATACATACTATATATATATTTCTTTATGTGTTCTCAGACAAGTTTTTCAGTAAATAGTATATTTTTGCAGTTTGTACAATGGTGAAACCCCAGTATCTGATACTATAGTTTTTATCTGCACCTGAAGAAGTAAAAGAGACATAAATATAATGGCATGTGAAGCAAGACTGATAGTACTCTGTTATTAAGCACTTATTAGCACTTCTCTCTAGAAGAACCTGTTTCTCATAGGTTATAACTACCTTACATTTGTCAAAGTCAAATATTTTGTATTTACTATGGCTTGATTTCTTCTGCATGCTGTTGTATTTTGTGGAGGTGCAGAATCCTTTGGGACTTGCTCCAGGCATCTGATACTACCAAACAATGACTGAATCCTGTATCACTTGTGTCCCCACACAATGGCTAAGCCCAGGAACTCTTTTCTTGTAAAGGCTTCCCATTAGTCCTCTCCCCTGCCTTTACACAGTCCAGGTACACGATGGTCTTTTAATGAAGTGTAAGATTTCAAGTGTGCCTTGTCCATTCCTGTGCACTGAATAAAGGAGGAATCTTTAGGAGAAAAATATCATTGTTGTACAAGAATGAATAGAGAAAAGAAGGCAAAATTAATTGGCCAAGCAACCTTATTCAATATCCTAACTTCTGAGAACTTGATGTGTCAATCTCAGTACTATTTTTGCAGACATTATATGCAACCTATTTTATATATGTCTGGTTCTGATTCAATAGTGCCTGAAGCCACAAACTAAAGCGAGATGGAGGTCAGTCAACTTTATATATTTCATCTCAATTAAGTCACGCTATTTTCCAATAACAGAGGATGAATACTAGATGTGATTATGTTTTCACATAATATTTGTCTTTGTAACACCAAAAGCAAAATAATATCATTAGAGAAAGATTTTTACATTGCGTATGGCTGTGAAAAAGTTCAGTTTATTTATGTTTGGTGTTAATTATGAAATGGTATATAGTCATATAACCCTCATTAGTGGTATTCTGGCATCAAACTTTTCAGTTATTACCCATTTTTGCAGTAATAATGCCTATAAGTGTGGTTTCTGATAGGCATGTATAAAGAAATTATAAAGGCTGTGGGAGAAAAATCAATGAAATAAATATTTACAGAGAATTAAGGTCTGTAAATTATGCATCTCCTAAAGAACATAACTTTCCTGTCAAGCATCTTATTGATTTTCTTAGGGTCTTTAACCCTTCTTCCTCTCTGCTGGAAATATTCTCATGAGAAATAGAATATTGCTAAGTTTCAGAGATAATTGACCCCTCAGATTACAGCCTTCTTTGGCTCTCTTTGGCTATCAAGGAGAACTTGGAAACATGCAAAAAAAGTAGTACTGGCAATACATGTACTATTATGAGTACTTCAAGACAATTTGGTCTTTGGGATCTTCCTATCCAGGTACCAAACTTTTTGTATAACCAATAGTCATAAGATACATGATACATGCTTTAGAGGAGGTGAGAAAGAAAGTCCTGAAAAACATTTACAGATGCAAAAAACTTCCCAAAAGGTCTCACCATTATATTGCAGAATAAATTTGAAATGGGAATATTTCTGGGGCAGAGAGAGCTCTTATAATGTCAACTGTCCAAATTATCCCACTAGTAATAAGGAACGGAACGGAACGGAACGGAACGGAACGGAACGGAACGGAACGGAACAGAACAGAACAGAACAGAACAGAACAGAACAGAATAGAATAGAATAGAATAGAATAGAATAGAATAGAATAGAATAGAATAGAATAGAATAGAATAGAATAGAATAGAATAGAATAGAATAGAATAGAATAGAATTAGTGGAATTAATATAGTAGAGTATAACAATATATCAGCTTCCAGGAGTCGTGTCCTCAAATCTGGCCAATAGAAGACAGTTACAGATGAGTAAGAATTGAGTGAATGGAGTGAATGTGCATTGTACTTTTTAAAATTCCCCTCACCTGCCCATGAATTTCTTCAACCAAATTTAATTTCCATGTATTTAGCAACACTCAAAGAATTTCTCTTTCATTAACTTGTGCAGTTCTTCCTAGAACCAACATAAATTTTTATCAGACATTATATTCTTGGAAAGGCTTGATGAAAGACTGGAAAAGAGGGCATGAGGAGATTTGTGGTCTAGAAGTCCTTATCCATATAGAAAGATAAGACCATTATTACTGTTTGCACAAAAAAAGACATCTCTTTTTACATGGGTTGAACATGGTTCACTAAGTTCATTGAATTGCCCCTTTTGTTAGAAGAAAGAATGAACAATCAATTCATACCTATACTATTTTTGCTGGGGCCTTTTCGTCATTCATGAGCTGTGCTTCTCTATCACACCCTCCTCTTCAGTTATTTCTGTTCCCAGATGAGTCTTGGATAATTTCACTGCTCTTTATACATGAGTCATCCCCTATATCTCAACATCCTCACTCAAAATCTTTTACATTCTTTTATGTCCAGGTAGATTCCACAGAACTGCCTACATAATGTAACCTGTAATGGGAAATATATTTGAGTGTGGTTACCCATGCCTACCTCAAGAGGCACATCCTTCCAGTATATTCTCTTTAGTCATGAAGGTAAAAATGATGTTAACATGATCCAATTTTAGTATACTAGCAATAAATCAACTCTCAATGTATTCTAACATTGGTTAAAACAATCCCAGAAAAAATACTGTGACAAACTTTGGAGAAAGGGTCTTCTCACCACCACCTCCTTTCCCTTTGGAGTCTCATTGACAGCCTATAGTTCCACTTCCTGAATGTCATGGTAACCTGAAAAGCATTTGGAAAAGTCAGCTAAAACACTTGGAACAGAGCCTTGGACTGTATAAATCTGGAAGCTGGGTTTGCTCATTTTCAATTACTGTGAAATTTCCTTGTCTGACCTTGTATCAAACAGGACATGTCTGGGTAAATTCACAGCCCATAAGTGAGAGG